TTTTCAACCAAACTAACTTAATACCATACAACAATCACAAGGAAAGATAACAATAATGTTAATTTTTCCCCAAATTTTCGGATTAACCCACATATAACAAAACCCTAATATCTAAATATCATTTCTTCCAATCCACTAGAATAACTAGCTCAAAATATTCAAACAGTTAGCTTCCTTATCATATTTTTTCAAGTATAAGCTATAGATTTAAAATCCTAAACAAAAATTTACAAAAACCAAACCATAAATTCTTAACCTTACCTCTTGAAGAATTAAATAAACAAGATTGAAATAGTTGGCACAATATTAATTCTTTCTTCTTCCTTTTTCCTTCCTTTCTTTTTCTTTTCTTCCCTTTTTCCTTGATTTTTCCCTCTTCTCTAGAGGCCGGAAAAACCCGACCGAACCCGCTCAAACCGCCCAACCCGACCCGACCCTACTGGGTTGGGTCAATTTTTTTGTTGTTTTTAAGTGGGTTCGATTTTTTGAATATGTAGGTGGGTCGGGTTGTAGGTTAACTCATAAAAACTGACCCAACCCGCATATTTAAAAAAAAAAAAAGGAAAGAGAAATAAATTGCCTAAACGTAAAATCGCTATTTTTAAGATTTAGAGTTTCATAAAATTATAACAAAAATCCCATTATAATTTCTAATAGACAAATTTTTACATCGAATTTCTCAAATCACAATGTATAACTCAAGACTTCGATTGAGTTTTCCCGTAATCTCTATCTCTTAGGATAATTAATTCTTGTACTGGTTTACAAAAGTATCTTGTAGATGGTTATATGAACTATGGACATAAATGTTGAAGAAAAAATAAATGTTAAGTTTCTATATAGAGGCTTGATCTAACTTTTGAATAAATCTCACATTTCAAATAAGCTTATGAAGCATAATTTGCCTGTTATTGCCTAAAATTATTAAAAATTTGAGATAAATAATAATTAAGAAGTTAAATTCGAAAAAATAAAATAAAATTGGCTACTAGCAAAATCATCCGTCTTACTTTTTGGTTTGACATCAATTTAATAAGTATCCTTGTATGTTGTGCAATCTTTTTTTGTTAATTTAGGTCTGACGATAAGCCTGTAGATCCGAAGCAGGAACTTGAAGAGCGATGCAAGGCATCATGCACGCGACCACTCAAAGAATATCAGTTGATTTTGACCGAATGAAAATAAACCTTCCTTTTTTATTTTTTCTAATTTAATGTCTGCTTCTCCATTTTTCAAGTTTCCTGCTTTTTGTGTTCTTTTCACTTGATACTTAGTATTGCCAAAGCCTAAATGAAATGTTCTATGCATTTTACATTTTTTAGTTTTTTGTTCGCTCTTCTTTTTGTTTGATTATATGGTAATAAATTACAATTTGTCCAACCCAACCCAACCCAACCGGACCGACACTTGATTGGGTTGGGTTGGGTTTCAACATTTACTTGGATTGGATTGGTTTGATTTTAGATCAAACCGATCGTATTCGATTGGGTTTGGATTGGGGTAAAAATCGACCTAATCAAACCCACGCCCACCACTACCCTTCTCTGCGTTCTCTCGCTCAACAGGTTCTAGTGTGTGTTTGTGTGTGATTTGAGAGAAAAATATGGTCAAAGGTTGAATATAAAGGATAAGCCTGTAGATCCGAAGCAGGAACTTGAAGAGCGATGCAAGGCATCATGCACGCGACCACTCAAAGAATATCAGTTGATTTTGACCGAATGAAAATAAACCTTCCTTTTTTATTTTTTCTAATTTAATGTCTGCTTCTCCATTTTTCAAGTTTCCTGCTTTTTGTGTTCTTTTCACTTGATACTTAGTATTGCCAAAGCCTAAATGAAATGTTCTATGCATTTTACATTTTTTAGTTTTTTGTTCGCTCTTCTTTTTGTTTGATTATATGGTAATAAATTACAATTTGTCCAACCCAACCCAACCCAACCGGACCGACACTTGATTGGGTTGGGTTGGGTTTCAACATTTACTTGGATTGGATTGGTTTGATTTTAGATCAAAACGATCGTATTCGATTGGGTTTGGATTGGGGTAAAAATCGACCTAATCAAACCCACGCCCACCACTACCCTTATCTGCGTTCTCTCGCTCAACAGGTTCTAGTGTGTGTTTGTGTGTGATTTGAGAGAAAAATATGGTCAAAGGTTGAATATAAAGGCCCACTTGTTCAAAATTGCAAAGGAAGGTCCCTCTTCTTTAATAGAATATAACATTTAAATCCTAAACTTCCAAAAATATATATAAGTAAATTCCCAACTCAAATTGTAACCAATTTAACCCTCATATATGGCCAATTATAAAATAAACTCCAATAGAATATTTAATTTCATTTTAGTTCTTAATTGACTTTGAACTTGACTAGTCAACATTTGAATTTTGACTAGAAAAATTTGCGTTGTAACAGGTCGTGTTCCGAAAAAACTAGAACAATATTCTTTCATTCAACTACATTGGTATATATAGCAAACATCAGCATACAACTATCTGTGGCGTTTCTTATTTTCCCACCTATACAAGCTTGCCAACATAGGTAGATATCAATAAAGAAACATCCTGTACGGCTGTACGATAATTTAATTTTTCCAAAAAAAAAAAAAAAAAAAAAAAAAAGGAAAAAAAAAAAATTTTTGGGCAAAA